ATCAAAGACCAAAATTAAGAGTAGAAATAAATAACAGAATGCTTGTGGGGCTTCTTGATACAGGGGTGGTCAAGAATCTTGGCATCCAAGTTGGCCTCTGCAGGAGGTAAATGTTCAATTCCTAAAGATTTGAACCCTATTTCAGATAAAAGAAGGCACGAGATGTATAGGGCCAGAAGGACAAAGAGGAAGACTGAGGCCATATGTGGCTGATATAGCAAATAATCTATGGGGTCATGATCTATTGGAATGGAATACCCAGATTAACATTCCTCCAGTATCAGATATGAACCATAAACAAATTCATGTTTGTGGAAAAAATATTGTATGGCACTATATAAACAGACACCAACTATCCAGGCTGTACACAAACAGAATACGAGTGCCAAACTAACAGAGGAACCAAAAACTCTACCCTTAAAGTGGCTAACTGATTAACCTTCCTGGAAGGGGCCATGGCCTATGACATCTGAGAAGCTACAGGTTCTAGAAAAGCTGGTTCAGGAACAGCTAAATGCTGGACATATTGAGGAATCTATCAGCTTTTCTAATTCTCCTGAATTTGTTATTAAAAAGCAATCTGGAAAATGAAAAATGCTTACAGACCTGAGAGCCATCAAAAAAGTAATTCAGCCAATGGGTTCTCTACAGCCTGGGATGCCCTTGCCTTCTCTGATATCTAAAGAATGGCCTATTATAGTTATTGATTTAAAAGATTGTTTCTTCACTATATCTTTACAAGAAAGAGATATGGAAAAAATTGCCTTCATGGGGCCTACTTAACAATAATTCTCAGCCAGTCAAGAAATATCAATGGAAGGTCTTGCCACAGGAAATGTTAAATAGCCCCACCCTGTGCAAATATTTTGTGCAAAAACCATTGGAAATAATTCATAAAGTTTCTACAGTCTGTAATTAGCCATAGTATGAATGATATATTGTTGGCTTATTTTAAGGCAGAGACATTAGGAAAAAAGTTTGAGGGAGTAAAGGAAGTTTTACCTGGATGGGGATTACAAATTGCCCCCGAAAAATATACAAAGAGGAGATTCTATCAATTATTAGGATATAAAGTAGCAAATTAGACCCCCCAAAAATACAGATCAGGAGTGATTGATATCAGACTCTTTATGATCTTCAAAAATTACTAGGAGAGATTTTCCAGCTATAGACTATTATTGGAGTAGAAGGACATGATCTAAAAAATTTGAAAAAGACCCTAAAAGGGGACAAGGACTTAAACAGTCCAAGAATATTATCGCCTGAAGCTGAAAAGTAATTAGAATGGGTAGAAAAAAGAATACTAGAGGCACATGTGGACCGTGTGGATCCAAAGCTAGACTGTATTCTGGTTATATTGCCATTTAGGGATTACCTTTCAGGGATTTGATGCAGAGAGAAAATATCATAGTAGAATGGATATTTCTACCACATAAACAGAATAAAAAATTAAAAACATATATAGAAAAGATTTCTGATTTGATTTTAAAATGAAAATTAAGATCACCTGACAGGAATGGACCCAGCAGAAATTATAGTACCTCTAATTAATGAGGAAATTTCCTCCTTATGGAAAGATAATGAATATTGGCAAAGAGCTTGCAGTAACTTTTTGGGAACGATTAGCAACAATTATCCCAAAAATGAGAGAATAAAATTCATAAAGAAAACCATTTGGATCCTTCCATGTATTGTAAGGAAAACCCCAACCTCTGAAGTCCCTACCTTCTACATTGATGCAAACAATTCAGGCAAGGAAGGATATAAATCAGAAAATATAGGTAAAGTGGTTCAAAGCCCTTATAACTCTGTCCAAAAGGCAGAATTCTCATGGTAATTATGGATTTTACACAATCTCTTAATATAGTTACCAACTCTTAATATGCAGAGCAAGTCGTCTTACACATTGAAACTGCTGAATTTATTCCTGATGATACAGAATTAATTTCATTATTTATACAATTACTAGAAGTAATCAGTAATAGGACTCATCATACATACATACATACACACACACACACACACACACACACACACACACACACATATATATATATATATATATATATATATATATATATATATATCAGATCCCATACAAGTCTGCCAGGCAATGATGAAATTGATCATTTATTAATAGGAAGTGTGATGGAGGCCTCAGAATTTCATAAAAACACCATGTGAATAGGAAAGGTTTAAAAAAGGATTTTTCCATCACTTGGCAACAAGCTAAGGAAATAGTAAAAAAATGTCCTACTTGTTTCTTCTATAACCAAACTCCTTTACCAGCAGGTAGTAACCCTAAAGGTATACATAGAAATGAAATTTGGCAAATTGATGTATTTCACTTTGTAGAATTTGGAAAATTAAAATATGTGTACCATACTATAGACACATTTTCAGGATTTCAATGGGCAACTGCTCTGAGCTCTGAAAAGGCTGATTCTGTTATTACATATCTATTAGAGGTAATGGCTATTACAGGTATATCTGCAAAAATAAAAACTGACAATGCCCCAGCATATATCTCCAGTAAATTGAAACAGTTTTTTAAATATTAGAACATAAAACATGTTATTGGTATACCACACAGTCCTACAGGACAAGCATTTGTTGAGAGATCAATTGTACTTTAAAGGAAATGCTCTATAAACAGGTAGGGGGAACCAAGACCCTCCAAAAACAGATTACATAATGCTTAAACTTTCTTAATGCGAATGAGAAAGGAAAAACAGAAAGACATTGGACAATAGAAAAATCTTCTCAGCTAAATCAGCCAATGTACTTCAAGGATGTATTGACCTCAGTCTGGAAACCAGGATATGTGTTACATTGGGGTAGGGTTTTTGCCTTTGTTTCTACAGGAGAAGAAAAGCTTTGGATAACATCAAAGTTGATCAAGATCCTGTGTGAACAGGAGAAGCCTCCTGATGAGGAGAAATGATAGGTCATCCACTAAGTTATATCCCACGAGTTGTATGGAGACCTCACAAAGGTGTGTGGGGGGGTGTTCTGTTCTTGTCATTACAGGGAAACAGAAAACACTCATCTTAAAGAAATCAAAAGATATAGGTGTAACAAGTACGGGTTTCCCACCCCCCCTCACCCCCCGCCGCCTGGTCTTGTCCCGCCACCAAGCCAGCCCCAAATAATACACAGAGACTCTGTATTAGATATTATTCTGTTGGCCCGTTACTAGTTTCTTATTGGCTAGCTCTGTGTTAATTATTAACCCATTTGTGCTGATCTATGTATTTCTCTTACCGGGGAGCCGGCGGCATACTGCTTTCTCCAGACTCTCCATCTTGACTCCTCCTTCCTACTTCCTATTTCCTCCTTGTCTCCTAGTCCCTCCTATCTTCCTTTCCTATTAGCCAACAGTGCTTTATTATTAACCAGTATGAGAAACATATACAGAAAGACATCTCCCATCACATAGGACTTATAGATGCCTAAAGAAGAAAAGATAGCTATCCAGAAAGAATCATCCAACAAAGAAGAATTTTACTTATGGTACCAATATCTATTCTTAGTATAGTCTCAGTAAAATCTTTTTATAAAAAATTTATAACTCCTTACTTCCGAGTACTCTGGTAGTCCCAATTCATGTAAAACCAATGCTGGCTTTGGAGTTGGATTTGGCTTTCCTTCTCTAAATTCAAGGATGTTGTTAAAAAAAATTCATAGTTTCTGTCTCATATCAAAAAAAAAAAAAAAAAAAAGGCAAAAGAAAGGAAAATCTAGGGACTATTATTTATCAATACTCTGTTCTCTCTCTAAAATAATAATTTATTTTCATCCTTACTATTACCTTTCCCAGTATTCATACCTATAAAAGTTAAACTTTCTGTGTTGATATTAATGTTTAAGTCTTCCACAATGAACAACAAAATTATTTCCTAACAGCAATCATTGAAATCTCTGGAAAGAAGATAGGGTCCTAGTTCATTGATTCTACTTGATTGTGGGAAAGACACAGAAAGGCTCCTCTGGGGGGGGGGACGTGGGAGGAGCTTTTCTAATCCCCCCCAATCCCAGGCCACAAAGAAAGGTCCCTGGAAAGGTCCACCCCACAAACCTGTCTCCTGCCCAGTTCTCTGCCGCTACTTACCCTCTTGTGTCTTTCACAACGAACCCCTTGTGTGAGGTCTGTTGTGTAGTGTGACTTTGTGGTATTGCTTGACATTTCCCCTCTTAGCTGTAGCACTTACACATACCAGGCCCCGTCTTCCGATCCCTCTCTGCCTCCACCTTGCAGATCAGTTCTCAGCTACTCTTCTGGCACTGTTCCTGCCTGCCTACTACCATGATCTGCACTGTCTGAAACTGTAAGCAAGCCCTCAATTAAATGCTGCCTTTTATAAGTTGCCTTGGTCATGGTGTCTGTCTGCAGCAATGGAGCAGTAGCTCGACAGGGTCCTCACTGATCTGCCTTTTGCTCATCACTCTGATTGTTAAGTCATCCCCAGGGACCCAGTATTGTCCCACCTCCCTCACCAAAGCAAATGGGAAGTGCGTATTTTTGTGCAGCTTAAGTAGCTGGTTCATATGTGACTCTTCTGCCTGATGCTGACCAGGTGGAGGGGGAGGAGCCGTAATTCTCCTTGATGGAAGGTAGATATTCTGGCAGATGGCAGGGTTTGCTTTCCTCTACCGCTGAATCATGCTGCATCATCTTCCAGATTCCCTGTCTGTCCCTTCACAGGTTCTGTGGGTGGTGACTCCAGCTTCCTGGGAGTTATTCCTCTTCTAGACTTCCCTTTCAGGGTCTGGTAAGCACTGATCCACTATCACATGTCTCTTTATGCCATGTTTATTTTCTGGTCTTGAGGAAGTGAGTTAAATTTCCAACTGAGAATATACACCAGCAAAGACTCATAGTGTATTCTAAATGTATACAACAAAATATTTCTTGACATTTCATGGTCATTTGGTTCACTCTTTGAAACCTCATGTTCCTTAAAAAGCCCTTAACAAAACAAAAGAAATCCCTATGATACTGCTTTAATATTTTTCCTTTATTAGCTTTGTAATTGTTGCCATTATATTTTTCTTTATGCCAGAATTATGACAGAGGGAAAGTAGTTTTAGAGAGAGTGAAGAAAGGTAGGAAGGTTGCTTTAATTTTTCCCAAGCATGACTTGAGGGGAAATTCTTGCATCCTTCCAGCCTATGGAATAGTCGCCGGATCTTTATTAAGCTGGCCAACAGCAGAAGGTCGTCTTCACTCAGGAACCGCAGAGCTGGGAGCTCTTCTGGGGCATGGAGCTTGTCAGCAAAGAAAGAGAGGGAGGAAGCTGAGTGTCCATGAGTGGAAATGGGCAGGTGGGAGGACCAATTAGAATAGGGACAGTGGGACCATTTTACTCTGGATAAGGAAAGCAATTGTCATGCTGTAGAGTCTTGAGAGAGCAAATGGACTTCAGACAGTTTCAAAGCTTACAATTTACTCTGGAAATTCAACCAGTGTCTATTGAAGAGAGTGTGAGGCTACCTTAAATGGTCTCTTACTTAGGAAGTGTCTAGTGAGGCGGGGTGGAGGAAGAGGGATGCGCTGAAGGCCCAGGGGGAAAGTACTGAGGATGACATCTTCCTAGAGAAGGTAGCATGGGGGTGACTAACACTCCTTTTGTTCTCTATAGTGTGTCCATTCAACCCCCTCTTCCTTTGCCTCCTCGCCTGCCTTCCCCACTTCCTCACAGTGATGATTTAAGGCTCATGTCTCTTAGCAGCTACAGAGGGACCTGTCAGGACAGCCTGCAGCTTCAGGGCCACCTAGGAGGGCACTCAGCCTCACAGGGGCAGGCTAGAGAGCAGCAGAAGTCACAGCCTGCTGTGCGTGTGGGGGGGGGGGCACAGGAGGACAAAGAACACAGTATTTTTGAGTTCCCACCTCTCCCTCCAAAGAAAGGGTAACCGTGGAAACAATGCAAAAAATAAAAACGCCTTAGCACTGTGTTCTTCCTGTTGCATCAAGAAGTCTTTTCCATATTAAAATCCATCTCCAGTAGAGGAGGAGAGAAGCGGTGGGGCTAGGGTGTGTGTGTGGCAGGAGAGTGAAAGTGCCCAAGAGAGGACATTTTTAGATCTTAAAGAAGAATGTACTTGCCATGAGGGCGATTACCAAAGGGAGGCTAGACATTACTGTATACTCTGGAATACTTGACCACCTAGTACACCGCTAACCAAGAAAGAAGTTTGTTAAGAGCTGGGCCAGGTAGATGGCCAGATTGACTAACAGGGCTGAGAATCATGCTGAGTACACTCAGGTTGAGTCTGAGGTCTCCCTCTTGTTTGACGGTCCTGAGACACTCTGCCTGTGCCGAATATTGAGATAGTAGTTTCTTATGAAATGCATGCATTTTAGGAGTCGAAGGCTCTCAGGAAGTTTGGAGTAACCTCCCTCTTTAAAAGCAGTTTAAATGAGGCTTCTGAGAGTCTAAGGGGTGTGTTCCTACTCGCTGTACATATGGAAGGAAACACACCAACTTCTGTGAATATCTCTCTGTATCTTTGTGGCAGCTTTGTTTGCTCAGTGCATAGTTAGTGTCAGGTACCATGCTTAGTATTTTACATTTCCCCAGACTTCTCACAGCAGGAATCATTGCTTATATTAGTGTTGTGGAACTGAAGCTAAGTTCACTCATATAGCCAAGAGGCAGAGCTGAGATTTGAAACTACAGACTGCAGCTTGATGTTTTTCTTAACACCTGCATTACCACCATGGAGCGTGTGTGTGCTTTTATCAGGTTGGGGCAAAGCATGAAAATAAAGGCATCAGAGAGAGCCTGTTTTGTCTTTTGGGAGCTAATTGTCATTGGGAAAGGCAGCCATGATGCAAGAAAGGCAGCCTGACCGAGCCAGTGCAGGGCAGGGATGAGTCCATGGACAGCTAGCAATGTGGGAGATGATGACTGGGTAAATACCTAGGCAAACTGGCAGTGTCTCCTAAGGAGTCAGAGCTTGTATTTCCTCTTAACATAATTAGAACTCACGATTCCTGGCCCAGACTAGGGCTTTCTGCCATAGTAGAGAGGAAACAGAAACCTCACAACACAAAGACAAAAACAGAACTACCAAGGCAGACGAATGCAGTTGCACAAAGACACACGCTCCTGGGAACTTAAGTCTGAGTTATTTTAGACAGAAGAAAATGTAAGGTTGCTTCAATTACACAGGGAAGCTTCATTGTGAATTCCAAAACTTCTCAGTGGACAGATTAGGCATAAATATATTCTATCAGCAATAACATTAACAAAATTATTTTACTCTTTGAATGATTTAAACTATTTTTTTTTTAAATGGACTTACCGTTACTTTAGTTCCAACACTGATTTTTGCCTGTTGGCCCATTGCTAGGAAATTGATGGAGACCTTGTCTTGTTCTAGGATGCGAATTCCAATGTAATGGTTCAAAGCCAGAAAAACGGGTTTAAACGAGACAAAGGATGAGGGAGGCATGGAACTTGACCAGTTCCAAGTTCTTATTCTGTTGCCAGCTTGATCTGAGTATTGGCCTCCCAAGATGTTGATGTACACCCTGGAAGGAGATCAGGAGGATAAACAGAAGTGCCTGTGGTGGCTCACACTCGCAATCACAGCTTTCAGGGGCTGTGGTGGGGACGATTGCCAGAGTGAGACCTTGACTTAAACCCTGTCTTGAAAAACAAAACAAAGAAAACAACAACAAACCAGAAACAAAGAAACAAAAAGCCCTGCCAATGGTAGCTCTAGAATTCAAGGCTGAATTATCCCTCCCTGTCACTTCCCAATCAAAGCACTTGGGAGACAGGCAGGCAGATTGGGTTCGAGGCCAGCCTGGTCTACAGAGCTAGTTCCAGGACAGGCTCCAAAGCAATACAGAGAACCCCTGTCTTGAAAAACAAAGAAACAAACAAAACAAAACAAAAAACTCCAAAAACCAAAACAACAACAACAACAACAACAAAAAACAAAACAAAACAAAAAACAAACAAAAATACAAAAATACAAAAAAAAAAAAAGAGTGGTGGGATTGGGATTGTTAGGAAACTTTAGAAACAATACTACTCACTTTACAATATTTGAAGTACTGGGTTCAAATTGAATTGAAGCATATTGATAAACTGAAGTGAGTCGTGGGTCCAAAAAAGGCTATGGTATGATGATGATGGTGGTGGTGGTGGTGGTGGTGGTGGTGGTGGTGGTGGTGGGTGTGTGTGTGGGTGTGTGTGTATGTGTGTGTGTGTGTGTGTGTGTGTGTGTGTGTGTAGGGAACCCTGAAGGTTTCATTTGGGAAAATAAAGAATACATAAGGGAAGCTGTTCCTGAGAGGAGGGACCAGTGCTTAGATTTTCATCAGGCCAGAATGCAAAACCATGGATGTAAATTAGGGGGACGCCCAGATTAGTTCTTGTTCAAGAGAGCTGATAAAGCTAAAAGTCAAATATATATATATATATATATATATTTGCAGGGGGGGGGTGTTAGAGGGTGCTGGTTACTAAACCCAGGGCCTTGACCATGTTATGTATGAGCTCTCCCACTGGGCTGCACCACCAGCCATTGAGTTCCAGGCTTTTGGGAGCTGGATGTGGAAAGCAGGGGCTCAGGGCTACTCCTGAGTTCACTGCAATGGAGAAAAGTTCTACAGTAGGGCAGGGATGTGACTTAGATCAAGGGGGCTTCTCCAACCATGTGACATTGCCAAGGTCCCACATTTACTATATTATAAGAAATCATGCTTGCTCTGAGTTTCCTGTCACTCATTACTGTGATATTCTACTGGGCAAACTCGTCCCCATGTGCCCTTACCTTTTTCAGCAGAGGTAACCATCCCTACCATGAGCAGAGGTCTGTATTCTTAGAAGGTTGGCTTGCTTTGACAATATATTAGCTGTTTAACTGTGTGAACTGCCCATGAGGGCCCTCATGAGTAAGATAACTAATACCTTGTTTCTCCAGCACTGACTACTGATACTAACCAGACAGCAAAAGAAATGAAAAACCTAGGGGACACCCTGCCAGACCTGGAAAGGGGTGACTTCACACAGCAACATCACACCAAACTGTTCTGAATCAGTTCTCCAATTCTTCCTGGAGTTTACACAGACTTAGCTGTGTAAAGATAAAGGTGCAGGACATGTCTTCAAGAAACCAGTTCACAGAGAAAACAGACTTGCTGCACAGAGACAGAGGGAAGGAGGCTTTGGGAATGTCAGGGACCAGAGTACTCAATAGTTCAGTTCATGGGGTTGGGGATCCCTGAAATCACCTGGTCTCTACAACTGATTGAATTAATATAGGTGACGATTATTATAATACTCCTCCAAATATAACACAGACTTACTATTTAACCATGAAAGATAAATGGAGGTTTCCCATTATACATAGTGTTATTGGATTTGTTGCTACCGTGGACTAGAAATACAAATAGTCCACTGTGTCCCAATTTTTGTCAGTACTGGCAAGGTCCAAACTTTGCCAGCTATTGACAGAGTTTCCCAAGTGAGATTATATCTAGAGATAATTTCAAAAGCCAAATATATAACTGAGAGGCTTAAATTATATTTGAAGTTAGAACCCACGTTTTCTTTCAGATTAAATGAAGTAATATGAATAATATGTAGAGTGTATATATTGATAAATTAAAAGGAGTTGAGACCTTTCCATAGAGATTTAACTCTTCCTCTATACTATTATGTGTGCATGCATGAGTGCACGTGGTGAGGGTTGCCTGTGAGCCACAGCATGTATGTGGAGGGCAGAGGATGACTCCATGCAGTAAGCCCTCTCCTTCCACCTTTCTGTGGATTCCAGAAGATGAACTCAAGTTGCCAGGCTTGAATGGAGATGTCTTTCCAGGTTTCATGGCTCCAGAGGTTTGTATAGTATTGTCTGGCTCAACTACAGGGAGCTCACAGTCTAGGAATGTGTCTCAAGGAGTAAGCAACACAGTGTAGTGTGTCTAAGTCATATTACTACCTAAAAACCACTAACTTAAATACATCTCTCTAAAGCCATTCTCATCAAAGAGAAAAGATACAATTAAGTAATAACAGTGAAAAAATTATAAAAAAAAAAAATAGCAGCAAGGATGAGAAGCCTACCAGACATTTCCATTGGGATGATAGCAGGAGCTTCTCCCAGAGGAGTCCAGCAGTGCCAGGATAGCAGGGCTGGTGGGTGTGTCTTCTTGGACAATACAAGTGAAACCATTTGTCTTGTTGGGCACTTGGATAATGGCTAGATTTCCAGATGGATAACTGAGGTCAGATAAGGTCCTGTGAGCATTTCTGGTGATCTTGAACTATGCATGGAATAAAGTTAATTTATGAGGAGCGTTTTGAAATTATGAAGCATTGGGAAAGGCCTCTATTTTAATACAAAATAATGATATGCTTTTATATGGTCCAAAATGTATTTATGAAAAGTAAAAATGCTCAATGAAATGTAAGAAGTAAAATTAGAAATATTGGAGAGGACTATGCATCATAAAATTAAATTTATCCCCCAAAATGAAAGGTTGGCTCAACATCTGAAAATCAACAAATAAACCACTTCAGCAGGATAAAAAGTAAAAAGAGCACGATCATCTCAATAGGTATAGAAAAATCACCTGAAGAACCTTTACTGCTTCTTGATAAGAAGCCTTAGGAGTCTTCAAATACATTCGAACATCTTCAGCCTGACAGAGGGTAGCCACAGAAATGCCATAGGCTAACATTCTACTTAATGGTGTGCTTTCCCAGTAAGATGAGAACTTAAAAAAAGATGTTCATTTCCACAACCTCCAATGATTACTATACTTATTACAATTGTGTGTGTGTGTGTGTGTGTGTGTGTGTGTGTGTGTGTGTGTGTGTGTGTGTGCCACAGAGTGCATATAAGGTTAGAGAGCATCTTGCAGGACTGGGTTTTCTCTCTCTCTGTGCACTGTGTGGATCCTGGCAAATTGAACTCAGTTCATCAGGCTTGGTGGAAAGTACCTTTACCCACCATCTTGCTGGCCCCTTCTAGTCAATTTTATATGAACATGTTGACCATGGAGAGTTTAGGAAAGGAAGCTGTCTAGATTAGAAGGGGAGGTTAAAAACACATTTGTGATCTGTGTATGCAGAAAGCCTTGGGGACATACAAAACAAAACTCAGGTGGATGGTAACTGTGGGCTGCAAGATAAAATCAACTCCATTTCTTTATGTTAACAGAGATCATTTGAAAATGAAATTAACAAAACCATCCCACCCACACTAGCATCAAGAAGAATGCACATTGAGAATATCTTGATGCTATCAGGTCTATATGCAAAGGCTGTTCAGAGACAACGGTAAGTTAAGACTGAGCTTGAGTCATTTTGAAAATTAGCCACAGCCTTAGGAGAGGTAAGAATTAAAGTCATGGCCTGAAACAATTAGGAATAAAAGTTGGGCAAGTTATTTAACAAACAAACAAACCTCACACAACAACAACAACAACAAAACCCTATTCTTTCTCACAGGGAACTACAACCTTGCCATTTGTACCCATGAATGTAAATTTCCTGTTTATTGGCAGGGTTTGATTAAACATTTGGGTCACTGACTAAAAATGGCTTTGTTCCACAGGAAGCACTCAGTTCATCAAAAAGGTTTCTTTGGGTTTTTGTTTTTTGACTTTTTTTCCCCCCCAAGAGACCCTGACCTGGCTATCTGAGTGGCCTATGATGAACTGGCTAAGGACTGTTGATTTGTGGGTGTATAAATTGGTCTGTAGTCTGGAGTAGAAAATACCAAAGCTGGAAATGTCTACATTTCTTACCTAGAATTTTCTCTCCTACGTTGTGAGTAGAGGTAAGACAGAGAGCTGTCTTCTCTGCTAAAATGGGTTCACAGGACTCGACATAGTGCGGTACAGAAAGTGCTGTCTCCTATGTGGGTGCCTTTCAGATGTCATCAGCTCTTCTCTGAGTGGCAGAGTTCCTGTATTATGTATTTTCCTGTACCACCACCTCCATTCTCTTTCTTGTCTGTCCTGTCTTGTATGTCCTGTCTCATCTGTCCGCCTGTCTGTCTGTCCATCCGTCCATTATTCATTCATCTGTCCCTCCCTCCTCCCTTTCATTTTCTATTGGGATTGACACTAAGGCTTGGCAACATGTAGTCTGCCACAGACTTCTTCCTCAGCTCTTTTTTGATTTTTGATTTTGGGATAGGCTCAGTCTAAGTTGCCCAGGCAGGCCATGAACTCACTGTTTTCTTGCTTCATCCCCCACATCATCCTCCCCAACTTCAGCCCTCCCCCCCATCTTCCCCACCTCGTCCTCCCACTTCAGCCTCCCTCACCTCAGCATCCCAAGTAGTTGAGGCTACAAGCCTATGCCATCAGGCCCTGCCTGTTTCTCTTTTTGGGAATTAAAGCCAATACAAAAAGGTACAGAAAGAAAGGATACAATATCTGTGTTGTCCCATCTGGAAAGGAGGTGAGGAACTTGTTTCCATGCTTGTAGTGCTTCTCCAAGAGCTCATCCCTCACGACCTAGGTGCACAGTGAACAACATGAAGTGCTGGCCGCTGAGCTAACACATGGAGCACTGCAGTGCAAGCCATTGCTTCACTTTATGTGCTTAGCCCCACGTTAGCCGCACCGGATGGTCAGCAGCAACAATTGCAGGTCACCCTGAACACCTGCAGTATAACTTAACAAAATCCTTCTCATCACTTACCTATTTTGAAAGTTTTATTTTATTTTTTTATTTCATAAAAAAACCAAAGGAGACAGAAAAACAGTCACATCAGCAACAATATTCATATCCTTATTGCAACCGTTTTACATATCGGTGGAAGTGTTCAGCTGAGCAACGAAGGGTTAAGTATTATTATGTAAATCTGACCTTTTTGTTTTTGTACACTATGAAGATGTGTCTTTGCCAAGTTGCCTTTTGATTGTTTTAATAAAAAGCTGAATGGCCATTAGCTAGTCGGGAAGAGGTTAGGTGGCTCTTCTGGGGACAGAGAGCTCTGGGAAGAAAAAAGGTAGTGTGAAAATCTAGACACAGAGAGAAAGCAAGACATGCAGGAGGAGAAGTAAAAGCTACGAGTTACATGGTAGTATGTAGATGGATAGAAATGGGTTAATTTACATTATAAGAGCTAGTGGGACAAGTCTAAGCTATAGGCCGAGCTTTCAAATTGATAATAAGTCTCCCTGTCACTTTTTGTGAGTTGGTGGCCCATAGAAAAATCTGTCCACACTACTTTTTTTTTCTGGGTTGGGGATTGAACCTAGGGCCCCATACATGCTAAGCAAGCACTTTCTACCAAGCTACCTCCCCAGCAATGAGCCAGTGAGGAGTCAGTGAAGACACAGGAAGGTAACTATTATGACTCCAATTTCAACCACTTTTATAAGGAACTTAATCATGAAAATGAACTTGTATCTGGAAATACTTATGATAAATAAACTGAGGATTTAGTTAAATTCTAAGCATTCCTGATCTTGACTTGTACTAAAACAAAACAAGAATTCCTAGGGTGAAATGATCTTAGTGTTTGGATAAACATTGTGATTACTTTGAAAACCTATTGTTACATCTGGAAATGGCAGATTATTATTATTTTTTTTCACTTTTGAAGCTATGAAATATGGACTACTTCCAGAAAAGCACTACAGGACATCATTTCAGTAGTGGGTAATTATGAAACAAACACCATGTCATTACCATACAAGCTAATAAATTGAGTAAGAGATTCTAGTAGTCCCACTCCAGTGTGCCCACCCCAGTGGGCCCTTCCCAGTGTGCCATGCCCAGTATCAACACTCTGCCAAAGATGCAGCTGATAATATGATTTTATGGTAATTTCTGTGCAGTTTTTGTGTGTTCATCATTTAGCTTTTCCCATTTTTTAATGTTCCATATATAGTATGTGGTGATTTGAATAAAAGTGGCCCCCATAGGCCCACAGGGAGAGGCACTATTAGGAGGTGTGACCTTGTTGGAGTAGGTTTGGCCTTATTGGAGGAAGTGTGTCACTGGGGGTGAGCTTTGAGGTCTCAGATGCTCAACCTACACCCACCTACTGCCTTCAGATCTGGATGTAGAGCTCTCAGATACCTCTCCAGTACCGTGTCTGCCTACAAAACCAGCCACCACGTTCCCACCATGATGACAATGCACTAAATCTCTGAACCTGTCAACCAGCCCTAATTAAATGTCTTCATTTATGAGAGTTTTTTTTTTTTTTGTGGTTGTGGTGTCTCTTTACATCAATAGGAACCCTAACTAAGACACATGGGATTGTCTGTTGTAATTGTAGTTTTTTTTCTTCCCAGTGAAAAACCCCTCTCATCAAGTAGCTTCCATGCAATGACTTTCCTTTGTTCATGGTTTTCTATTTCTATTTGTCACTACTCATTGTGGCTGAGAGAACCTGGGTTTCCCCTTCTTTTGACCACTAGAAACACTGATAGCTAGAACAATTTTATGCTTGCATGTTGGTATTAAGTTCCTGTAGGGTATGGCACCACTGAGATGACTTTATAGTTCTGTGTCACATCATGTGTCACAGCAACACATACTGTTTGGCCCTCTCCCCAAAGCTCAGCACTGGAAGAGTTTATATATTCACCAGTATGGTTAGTATGGGATGAATTTTCATTTCTCAGGTGACTAAGGAGGTTGCACATGCTTTCATATGATTTTAGTCATCAGATTTTCTCTTGTGAAAAGTTTCTGTTTGCGTTTTGGGAAGGGCTCATTTGTGTGTGAGAGTCACTTGTTTGTTTGTGTTCTTTCTTTCTTCCTTCCTTCCTTCCTTCCTTCCTTCCTTCCTTCCTTCCTTCCTTCCTTCCTTCCTCTTATTTTTAACCTGTGTTGCTTTGGAGCCTGTTCCGGAACTAGCTCTTGAAGACCAGGCTGGCTTTGAACACACAGAGATCCAACTGCTTCTGCCTGGCTCGAGAAAGGATCTTTCTATACAGCTCTGGCTAAAACTGGAACTTGATATGTAGACCAGGCTGATCTTGAACTCACAGAAATCTGTCTACCTCTGCTTCCTGATGTTGGGATTAAAGTGTACACTGCCACACCTGGAAAAATGAACTCTTTCATCTTGATTTACAAAAATTCCTCATAAATTTAGGATGTAAGACCTTTGTATGCCACGTGTAATTTAAATGATTCTTCATTTTTTTGGCTGTTTTTCAGAATTTTAATTAGTTAAGCCCTTACAAATACTGCTTTTATGTGCAAACTCTCTTCTATGATGTTAAAAGATACCTGTGGCAGCACAAATCAAAAGACATGAAGCAGGGAGGGAGGGGTTGCAGGAGGATGAGAATTGCATCTGGGGAGAGTTAGGAGAATTGCATCTGGGGAGAGTTAGGAGAATTGCATCTGGGGAGAGTTAGGAGAATTGCATCTGGGGAGAGTTAGGAGAATTGCATCTGGGGAGAGTTAGGAGGATTGCATCTGGGGAGAGTTAGGAGAATTGCATCTGGGGAGAGTTAGGAGGATTGCATCTGGGGAGAGTTAGGAGGATTGCATCTGGGGAGAGTTAGGAGGATTGCATCTGGGGAGAGTTAGGAGAATTGCATCTGGGGAGAGTTAGGAGGAAGCACTGAGATGAGTGAGGTCAAAACACACTGCTTGCATGTATGAAATATGCTCAGCGCACACTACATGTGCATGTGAAATCCCCCAATACTATACATTTAAGAACTGAAAAGAGGCCTAGTGATGATGGTACATGTCTTTATTCCCTGGGGAGGCAGAGGCAGGCGGATCTCTGTGAGTTTGAGGCCAGCCTGGTCTACAGAGCAAGTTCTACGACAGCCAGAGCTGTTACACAGAGGAACTCTGTCTTGAAAAACAAAAACAAGACAAGACAAAACAAGAAATAAAAAAAAGAAAGAAAGAAAAAAATCTTTAAAGTTCTGTATGTTGTATTTAAATACTTAATCTCCTTAAAAATGGTTTCTACATATGGTATGAGGAAGTCTTCCCAGTTACATTAATAAAACATGGCTGCCCAGTCCAAGCTGACCCAGAACTACACCCAAAAAGGCGTTCTTTCTTCACTACCCTGCAGTGGCACTGCTGTCATCAGTTATGAATGAATGCTTGCTGGAATCTAACTACAGACTATAGTACTGTTGTGTGGCTCTGTTGACCCCTCCCCAGCATCACCCTTCAGTTTTCTTCCAGAGTGTCTTGGTAATTCTTCAGTGTATTGTGAAGACTTCCCTCAATATATGTACAATATACTCTTCTTAGAACTTGGGTGAGATTGCATTGGGTCACTTAAGAGAAGAATGTCCCCTTTAAAGTCCTTCCTTTTCAACTGCAGGAGTGTGGAGGGGCCCTGCAAACACAGAACCCCTGCAATGCAACACCATTTTGAGGAAGTGCTTAGGACTTTGGTGACTTTTCTCCCCTCCTGTTAGTTTTCTAAGAGTTCCAGATGGTCTTTAACGTGCAACTGTCACATTTTAAGGTCAAAAAGGTTTTTTTTTTAAATTTTTTTTTAAACTAAGAACATTAATAAGACAGAAAGTATAGAAGCAGTTTCAATCCCAAGTCTGTGCAATTATTTTTGGGAGATAGCAATGGGCTATCCAGTGAAGTTCCATGAGAACTTTACATGTTTCATGCAAAACTGACTTGAAAAAAAAAATCAAAAACGAAAATTGTGAAATCACCTTTCCACATGTTTTCATGGAATCACAGCAGCTGATGGAGACATTGCTGATCTGAATCTCATCACTATCCTCATCTGTCTTCTTCTCCGGTATGTTCATAGAGAGCTGGTAAGAAATCGTCTTCGAGTGCTTCGGGTCTAGAGCGAGAAAAATCACAGCAAAGTATGCATGTGTGCTTTGCCCCAAACCAAACAAAACAAGACAAAAACCAAAAACCACAACTTTATATAATAAAATAAAATTGAAACCCTGTTGCAAATGCATTGATTTATCACATTTTTTTTAAAGGAGGAAAAATAAGGACCTCTATTAAATTAAAATTAGGGAGGAGATTCTTTGACTTGAAAGTGATCAAAGTTTTCTATTGAATAAAAAGTGAAAATTCCACTGAGTTTTCATTATGTGGAATTTCTAGGTTTTTCCTCCCTCCCTCTCTCCCTCCCTCTTTCCTCCCCTCCTCTCTCCTTCCCTTTCTTCCTTTGTTCCCCTCTATCCTTCACTCTTTCCTTTCTCTTTTTTCTTTCCTTTTTTTTTTCCTTTTTGAGACAGGGTTTGAACTATATAGCCCTGACTGCTTGGAACTAATTATGTAGACCAAACTGGTCTCAAACTCCCGGAGATCTACCTGGCTGCAGTGCTGGGATTAAAGACATGTGCTACCCTGCCTGGTAGCCTTTAGTTTCAATAAGAAACAGTGAATTTCAAGAACCCCCCTATAATATTAGACATTTAGTTACAAAAATATAAACTGTACTAATTACCTTCAGTACCTTTTCAATAACAGAAGGAAGTTGATGCTGCCTGAGAAAATTAAATTATGTCTTCTAAATCAAATGGCCTGTGAGGAGGCCATTGAACATATAAACCTATGATTTCTTATGCTAAATTCAATTCTACCACCCCAGTTCTGTGCCCAACCCTGGTGAGTATAAGAAGAAAGCATTCTGATGTCTTTTGACAGGTCTTCCACATCCAAGTTTAAGAAAAGAGTGCACCGAGAGATTCCTAACACAAGAGACACCACTGAAGCAGTGCTCTGAGGATGTTACTAGCTGATTTCAAACAACAACGATGAGACAAAGACCAAGAACTCTAAGGCCAGAGGACCTAAACCCCAGATCTCTTGACCCATTTCACCAGATACATGCTTTATGATACTTACAAATGACTTTCAGTATTAGTTTTACATTTGCCAGTTTTATGCCTTGGCCCAACATCTGCATTTTCTGATGCCTACAGCATCCACGTCGACAACCTTACCTTCTTCAGGTATTGGAGGGCTTTGTTCATTTGACACTATTGCAAAATGTCTGGCCAGTTGACGTTCTTGTTTTCTATAAAATCAAAACCAAGCACAAGTCTATATTGTGGTTGAAAGTGGAACTAGTGTATTACAAATTTCAATGGCCCAAGTACCATCCTTTGTTATTTTAATCTGTTATCACTTATGAATCCAACTTATAGGACTGAGCATGTGAGTGGGCCGATAGCGAAAGTTTCTCTAGCACAGGAATTTAGAATTGCCCTGGTAATTTATGATTGACAATTTCTACTTCAAATGGGTGGGCTCACCAGGTTCCTGTCTCTAATATCATTGTCATCATCATTATTATTTAGTGTGTATATATGATGCTAGTGATTCAATTCAGGGCCTTGTGTATACAAGGGAAGCATTTTACTGCTGAGATTCTTCCTGGAGCTTTTGAATATCATGACATCCACCAGGAATTATAATGAGCTTGCTTTAGCTCATTTCTATTTTTTTCTTTTTAATTTATAAGAAACACATTCTCATGCTGGGTGGTAGTGGTGCACAACTTTAATCCCAGCACTCGGGAGGCAGAGGCAGGCAGATCTCTGTGAGTTTGAGGCCAGCCTGGTCTACAAAGCTACACAGAGAAACTCTGTCTTGAAAAATCAGAGTGAGAGAGAGAGAGAGAGAGAGAGAGAGAGAGAGAGAGAGAGAGAGAGAGATCCTCATAATTACATATTTTGAGAAATCAGGTTCATTCTATGAGATGTTCTTCAGTTAGCAATGTCCTGTCTGGGCTCAGCACCAGGACCCTGCATTACCTCTGCATGGCTTTTTCCTTTGCCTTGAGTCTATCGACATCACTGCCATGGGCTGTATGAGGATCAATACTGATTAAGTCTGTTTTAGTTCTTTTGATGTTTAGCCTTTCCTCATTGATATAATCAAGAAGATTCTGAAACTGAAGACAACAGTAGGCCTGAAAGACAAAGAGGCTATGATCTGGTTGAAGAGGATCAGAGGGCTAAAACCCCCAAATCAATGAGGTATGGTTAACAAGAGGCCATAACTCTTTTCTTTTCGTAGCTTTGGTAAGATAAAGTTTACACACTGTGACACAATTCATCTGCTAATAGAGCTAAATAACTCTTCATCTGGTTTTTAGTATTGTCAGAGTAACCATTTCCAGTCATTTCAGATAAAACCTGTACCCATGGCGTCATCTCTCCTCCTCAGACCTAATCACTAATTTACTTTGTTTTTGAGACAGCAACTCATGTATCCCAGTCTACCTTTCTATGTAGCCAAGGATGACCTTGAGCTTGTGATCTTCCTGTCCCCATCTCCCAAGCACTGGGAATATTTGTGCCACCATGTGAAGAAGCAGCCTGCCTCCATCTTAGGCGTAAAAGCCATTTTATAGTAAAGACAAGCTAGTTTCATTCCTATGTAGGATTCTCTGTTTCTCAAGGATTGGGCTATGCCCCACCCGAACCTTAACTACAAATGATTCTGTACTGCCTGTATCAGGAATGGCAATCATGTCTTTGTTTCAAAAAGCTAATAACCATCTTGCAACCCCACGGTGATGTTTTGTTTATGATCTAACAAATAAAGCTCACCTGAAGATCAGAGTGCAAAGCTAGCCACACTAGTTAGCCAGAGAGACCAGGCAGTGGTGGCACACACCTTTAATTCCAGCACTTGGGAGACAGAGGCAGATGGATGTCTGTTAGTTCAAGGCCACCCTAGGCTACATGAAATTGATCCAGTCTAAAAGAGAAACAGCTCACACAAAGCTGATCCCAGCTCTTGGAAGTGACATGCCTTTAATCCTAGCACTAAAGGAAATGGAGGCCGAAAGGGATAATATGGCTGAGTAGAGAGATGACAGTGAGGCTGGAGGAGACAGGAGGCGGGGCAGTCTGAGCAGCAGATAGTCTGAAGTAGTCCAAGGACAGGGTCACCCCTTGGTCTGATACAGAGGTAAGAGCTAGTGTAGCTGGCAGGTTTGCATCTCTGATGGTTCATCTTTCACTCCCTCCCCCATAGCTAACTTTGAGTTTTTATTATTAAGACCAAAGAGAATTCATGCAATACAATACTACCTTTGTTTCAAAAGGGTTATTATGACTACTTTCTTGTGACTTCCTGTTGTTACAACCTCCTTGCAATCATGTTTCAGTTTTAGGAGGTGTTATGACTTACTTGTTATGCTTATGTTCTGCTCCACCAAATCCCCCATTTGGGAGCCCTTACCCTCTGAGCTACTAAAAACCTTGTCTTCCTCACAACCAGTGTTGACTTCTTGAACCCTGCCTAAGGAGGAGTCAGTCCATGTACACAAATAAAGAAAGCTTGCTTTGATTAATTTGGCCATAATGACTTGGGTCAGGGGTCTTCCCCCCCCCCATCTTTTGGGTTAGCACATGCTCCTTTATTTGGTAGTGGGCATAAAACCCAGGGCTTTCGGCGCTAGGAAACCACTACCAGCCCAGACTCAGTCCTAGCCCCAGCCTTTAACCTGCTTTCTGTCTCTCCACATTTGCCTGTTTTTCACTCTTCACGCCCCTGGAACCACATACCGTCTGCTAGTTTGTGGCTGGCCTTCTCATTTAGCCTAGTGTTTTCAGACCTCATCTGTCTTGTAGCATGTTTCAAGAGTTCTATTCCCGTCTGGCTGAATAATAGCCTACTGTACCACTTTGGGGTATTAAGCATCATGAGTGTTTGTTTAAAAATTTTGTATAGATACATGTTGCTTGTTTTCTTGGGTTTAAATCCAGGAAGAAAATTGCTTCTAACTATGTAGGTTTGTGCAAAAGGGATTGTAGTATTGGACTACAACTTCTAAATTATGTAACTGTGCTCAAAGACATCTTCATTAATCAAAACGGGAATTACTTCAAATGCATCTCTCCCTCCCCCCACAATGAGAAATAAGTTCATTTAACCCTGTGGCATAAAGACCCATGCTCAGCAAACTCTTAGAAAACAAATTCTGCATTATGTTAGTTGTGGGAGTGTGTAAAGTTGGCAAGAGGTCAGGTGAATGTGGTGAACAAGACAAAATCTCCCAGCCCAATTCATTCAGCTTCTGAAGCACTGCTTACATCTCACGTGCATTTAGGTGCTCTCATGGAGAAGAATCCCACATTTCCTGTCGGCCAGCGCTGGAAGCGCAGGATGCATGTTTTTGGTACATCTCACTGACTTACTGCATGCACTTCAGACACGTATCTGATCCACAGTATAAGCTCAAATGCTTCAGAGATCTCAGAATACGGCATTGACAATGTTTAATTTAAAAAGCTTTTTTTTTTTTTTTTTTTATGATAGGCATGCCAGCCCCTGGTCACATCCCTATCTCCTGGATGAGTGAAAACGCATGGGTGCAAAAAGTCTTCCACTTGGAGCTTGCTTTGAATGTGACAAAGCCAACCACAGGGTGGAAAAAACTGCCTTTCACCTCAGCTTCTGTCAAGACCCTGTTCAGACTGTGGACATGCAGAACACTGGGGAATCAATTGCACTGCTTGGCTAGACAAGGTAGGCTGCTGCCCCCAAGTTCCTGCTCCACAGCAAAGTCTGTTAGGTCTTCTGGGCCTGGCAGCTGAAGGCAGATGCTGCCCTGGGACCTCTGTCCCCAATGACCATGGAGGAACCTGGGGTAGCTGTCTAGGTAGCCAGGAAGTTCCTGTCATTCTTAATAGAGTTGGAAGCTGCTTGGTCTGCGCTTCTGCTTACTCAGGTGAAATTTATTATTCTCAGATTTGATGGTGTTTGATGAATATGCTAGTGATAGCTTTGGCAATTTAACAGCCCCCCTCCCCACCAAAGGCTACACCACCTTGGTAGTTCATTGGTTCAGTTTCTTGTTTAAAAAACACAGACACATTTGCCTTGTTCACAGGCATCATGATAAAGGATAAACAGGTTTCACTAAAGGAACACAGAAAATGATTTAAGATGTGTAAATGAAAGCTGGAAAGGTATAAGTAAATGGTTTAAGGTGTGTAAAGAAAAGATGTTTTGGACTTCTGTTCCCTTTCTATGCTGTTGTTCTATTGGGATTTTTAGAGGTTTAGAGTTTTAGCATTGGTAAATGGAGTTCTGAAAAACTGACAGATCACAATCTCAAGATTAGCCATAATGCTCCTTCTTCACAGCTCTGTCAACGCATTGTTATCAGTCTTTTAAATCACAGCTGTCCTAGTGAATGTGATGGTTGTGATTGTTGATGGCTAACACACAATCCTTAAGAAAAATTATATAGGAGAAAGAAGCAGGGGGAAATCCTACACATCTTAAAAAGTAACACAAGTTCCTCTGTCAAGCCTGATTTCAAACAAACTTACCCGCCTTTTATGTTCGATGTGAGTGATGTCAGAACAACTGTCCACATCAGAAAGGAATGATTGTAGATCACTTCCACAAAATTCACACTTGGGTACTAGATCTTCTTCGTCCTTCAGAGAAAAAGGAGAGAAAGAGAAAGAATGTGAAGAAGTGCCCCAAGGACCAGCAGGCTTAGGGGGAATGGGTTGTGGGCAGAGTGTCTAGCAGGGCAACAGAGGCAATGGTGGATGTGCCAACTTATCTCAGAACACTCGTCACAGAAACACTTGATGAGGAACTTTTAAGGGCCTGAGATGTTGTAGCTGAAGGAATCAAGCCAGTAAGATCGATAGAGTCTAGTATGTAGATGTGTTGAACGTCTAACTTCTGGTACCTGAGAATGTGACTCTATTTGGTCTTTGGAACAGGCCTTAATCTAATATTGCTGGTATTGTCAGTAGAGAAGGACCTTGGGACCTAGGAACCTGACAAGAAACCAGTGAACACTGAGGCAGAGACTGGCAGGGTGCAATTGCCAGCTGGCAATGGTCCTTAAAGCAGGGAAAAGTGAAGAGAGTCCCACTACAGTGGTGGCCCTGTTGATAACTGGATCCAGACTTCTAGTGTCTGGAACCACAGGGCAGGGGTTCTTTTGTTTTACAGAACTCAGCTATTAAAGGCGTAGGAAACCACCCCAAGTGCTTTGTCCAAGTAAAGGAACCCTTTTCTTTGATTCTCTTAAGGTATATTCACATCTATTGTACAAATGTTGTGTGGACCCCTATAGCCCTTTACAGAAATAATAAAACATATGAACTGAAGTTACCTTGAATTTAATGTCTAGATAAGGAAGATTTTTTCTGTATGACAGAATGGGTGGTGGCCCAATGCTGGATAATGTTCTTAGAGGAGATTCAAACAATTTTATAAATTCTTCATTAAACTAAATGTTAAGAAGAGAGAGAACATTAAAGATTGAATAAGTCAATTTACAACAAGAACAGTGCATTAGTTATCATGATAAACAGCTCTCACCTCCATCTCACACAAAATACTTAGTTTGGGCTCTTCGGGATTAATTACCCACTTTCCTGAAGAGAAAGGATAGATTTAGATGGGAAATTGCAACCTTTGTGCTATGTGTTCTGTGTTCCTCTAGTCTAGAGATTCTCCATGCTGACCTCATAATCTATCATACTGAAACACAAATAGGTATGTATGTGCACACATGTATGTACACACAGGTGCACACACACACACACATACACACACACACACACACACACACACACAGCCCAAGCCCCTCATTTGCATTGCCTACCAGTATACATTCTCAACACAGTGCCAGTTAGCTTGGTTCCTTCCTTACTGGCAATTTGTCTTTTCCAGCAAAAGAAGATGAAAACAAATACCCATTTACCTCTTAACTTAGAAGCTGGAGTCTCTGGTTGTGCCTCCTTTGTTTCAATGGGTGGTACTTTTTCTAAAAACAAAACAAAAAGTATGTCAATCTTAAAAAAGGAGAAGCAAGTTAAATAGAAAATATATCATAGAAAAATAAATGCTTATGTCTCATTTTCAAATGTTCCCTCCTTTCCTAAATAGTGATTGAAAGAGACACATGGGGTCAGCTCTTTTAGAAGATAATGATTATAATACACCACTTTTCACTCACCCATGCCACTTTGTTGGCTTTAACTACCAACAAGACACAGCTTAGAGTCTCCTGAGAAAGGAGTATCGATCAAGTGATTGCATAGTTCAGATTCACCTGTGGGCATGTTAACTACTTTTTTATTGCTGGGTTAAGACACCATGCTCAAGGCAACCCACAGAAGAAAGATTTATTTATTACAGTTTCAGAAACTTAGTCCTTGACCATCATGGCAGGGAGAATAGAAGCAGACAGGTAGGCATGGTACTAGAACATTAGTGGAGAGTTTACATCCTTATCTGAAAGCAGGCAGCAGAGAAACCCAACTGGGAATGGTAGGAGCTCTTGAAACCACAAAGCCCATCTCCAGTGACACACCTCCTCCAACAAGGCCACACTTCCCAATCCTTTCAAAATAGTTCCACCAACTGGGGGGGGATTTAAATATACAACCTATGGGGGTGTTCTCATTCAAACCACCACAGCATGTGTATGGAGGGCCGTCTTGATTGTTAATTGAGGTAGAAGGGCCAGCCACTGTGGGTGGCTCCTGGTCAGGCTGTCCTGGGCTATGATAGGAAAGCTAGCTAAGTATAAACCAGCAAGCATTGTTCCTCCATGGATTCCCCTCTGAGCTTCTGCTTGAGTCCCTTTCCCGATTTCCTAAAACATGAACTGTAAATGAACTGTAAGCTGAAACAAACCCTCCCTTCCCCATGATTTCTTCTAAAGATTTATACTGGTAAGTTAAATGTTTACTTTTTTTCTTGTAGTGCACTTTTCCATAGTCTCTGTATATCCTAAACCATAGCATAGCTTTAATGTTATTTATTGATGGTTTGAAAAGTTTCTAAAAGAGTACATATGCCATTTCTATAATAAACATAAGGATATATAGCAGGAATATAATGGAACTCTCTCTCAAGACAGGGTTTTACTGTGTATCTTTGGCTGGCATAGAACTCACTATGTAAACCAGGCTGTCCTTGAATTCACAAAGATCTGCTTGCCTTTATTTTCTGAGTACTGGGATTAAAGATAAGTACCACCATACTTGTTTTAATGGCAGATTATTTCTTGATGAATAAAAACATTGCCATTTATCAAATACTATGTACCAATGATTTTAGATATTAATCTCATTTTGATGATCAGCACTCCTGTGTCACTACTAATTTACTAAGAGATAAAGCAACTAAGGCATGATGAGATTAACAAATTTGCCCAATATCTCAATGTCTAGTACACTGCCTGGGTTGAGCATCAGCCCTTCCATACTGGTTAAGTTTCCCAATTTGCAATCCAATCCCCAGCAAAGGCTAAGGAATCAAATTACTCACTTGGCTCCATAGCAGAAATTTGTTGAAGCCAACTTTCTTCTGTTTGTACTGATGTCTGAACTTTTTGATACAAACTTGGGTACATATTTCTGAAATTTAAATCACAATGTTAATTTGAGTATAATGATATGGTTGCTAGCAAATCTACTCTGTATAGTGCATTTTTAGTTGAATAACATATGCCATCAACAGCTCTGACGGTTTTCTTTGAAATATTTTCTTCCATTCCTATATTTTGAGTAAAATTAAACATGAAATGTGGATTAAATCAATTCTTTGGAAGGTCCATGAGGGACAGTGAGGAAGACTGGCCTTTTGGGTAGGAATTTTATTAGGAGTTATTCAATGCCACATATCTACAGGCATGGTGGGAGTTGTAATGAGAATTCAGGCCCACAAGGTTAAGTGGTAAAGGGGAAGCTCCTTGATGTGGACAAGTTGACCATAGTTTAGATTGGCTATTTTTGATTCCCAACAATGGCAGGAAGTGGGAACGACATGGTCATTTAGTAACTGTCCATCATACAGGATGAGGCCTGTTGCCCTGGGTGCTTACGGTGCATGTTAACCGTTCTCTGAGGACTTGGGGGTTACAGGCTCATAGACAGCTACAGGAAAGTGCCTGTTGTTTCCTTCACAAAAGCTGTGGGGGTAAGAAAGAGGCTAATGTAGGTGAGTGTAGCCTGAGTAGGCCCAGCTCAAACCTGATACTTTGTAGATCTTAGAGGTTTCTAAAGTCATCTTTTCCCTGTAGGGATTTACTAGCATTGTATCTTCTCATGTGTGGGATACTTATTGCTTGTGCTAGTAATGTGCACATTTAAATAAATGTAAATTATCACAAAGTGCTTGTTTTATTTAGTTTAAAATTAATACAAGGCTGGACTTGCTGCCCAGACAATCTAGCACTGTAGTGCTCCAGCTTCATCGAGAGACTGTCTGAAAAAAAAAAAAAAAAAAAAAAAAAACAAAGTGGAAAGCAATAAAGGAAGATACCTCTGGCCCCACATGCTCAGGCAGGCATAAGACAAACATGAATTCACATACTGTGCACACAAATTTTAGTTTCTTTTTCAAGGTATGGTTTCTCTGTGGAGCCTGTCATGCAACTTGCTCCATAGACCAGGCTAGCCTTGAGCTTAGAGATTTGCCTGCCTTTGCCTCCTGAATGCTAAGAAATTACACAAACCTTCTAAAAAGTGCTGAGTTTAAGGCGAATGCATTGTTATTAAGCACCTCTATTCCTTCTCCGAGTAGTTTGATCAGTTGTTTGAGCAATCACTGACATGACAGGGAAGTAGGTTATCTCTAGAGTGGCAAGTAAACAATGCTTTTCAATCTCCCTTGCTTCTTTGCATTTAATTCAATGATTGTTGTCTTCTAAAATGATCAAATGCCATGTGTTTCAGTTAGCACATTGTTACTCTCCCACCCCAGTTCAACTGTGTCTTCACCTGTCTTTTTGACACTTAGTTTCCTGGCACCTTGCATCAGTGCTTTTGTTTGTCAGTTCTGGAGTGACTGCGTCCTGGAATAGGCAAAGGACTCCTCTGTGGAGGCCACTTGGGTAAGTCTCCCAGGCAATCCTGTTTATCTAACCTTCCTGAGAGACAAGCTGCAGGGACTATAGGAGACGGAAATCCCTAGACATTTACTGTGTATTTCCCTCTCAGGGCAATAGCTAACGAAAATGAATACATTTTATTTTTTTCATTTAAGTGTCCTCGTCTAAGGAAACCTTTTGTGTGGGTAATCAAAATATCACAGGCAAAGCAGTATTCATTCCCACCTAGGATGGTCTGCACAAAGTGAGTTCTGTGGCCGTCCTCATTTATCTTCCACCTAAAAATTCCATAAATGAGGATGGCTACAGAATTCACTTAGCAGAAGGTAATTTTGATCACCTTCACAAAAGCTAATCAAAGCCTTAGTATTCCCTTTTCACTGGCAAGGAAATGGAGACCCATAGAGACCAAGGAACAGCTACAAAACTCAGGAAGGCGTTTTCTCTTGGTACAAAACTTGCTTTGTCACTTCCAGCTGTGTCTTAGTTTATTATTCCATTGCTGTGAAGAGACATCATGACCAAGGCAACTCTTATAAAAGACATCTTCTAATCGGAAGCTTGCTTACAGTTTTAGAGGGCTAGTCCATGATCATCATGGTGGGAAGTTGACATGCATAGTGCCAAGGCAGTAGTTGATACCTTTACGTCTTGATCTTCAGGGGAGAGAGGGGAGACACACACACACACACACAGAGACAGAGAGAGACAGAAACACAGAGAGACAGACACAGAGAGAAGAGATACAGAGAAGACAAGGGAGAAAGGAGAGAGGTTGAGATAGAGAGAGAGAAGAGAGAGAGAGAGAGAGAGAGAGAGAGAGAGAGAGATTGGGCCTGACATGGACTTTTGACATTTCAAAGTCCATCTCCATAGACATAATTCCTTCAACAAGGCCATATCTATCCCAACAAGGCCATACATCCTAATGCTTCTAATCCTTCTCACACATTTCCACTCCCTGCTGACTAAGCATTCAAATATGTGGGCCTATGGGGGGGCCTTCTCACTCAAACCACCACAAATGAGAACAGCAGTCAGGCAATTGAAAGTAGAAGTTGAACTGATGTTGGTTGCATTTTTAGGGCATTAAAACAACCATACCCATAATCTCACCAAATTCAGTAAAGAAAACTTTGATGTTTGTATGTGTATTTAGTTTTTAAAACATCTTATTAGAAAGATTTATGAGCCACAAGAATCTTGTCAGGAAAGAGAGTTTCTCATGGACTTGCAATCATGTAGCTGAAAACCAGGGCAACTTGGCTGCTCAGTACACAAGTGTCTTTCGTTTCCTTTTGCAGATCTTACTGAAAAAATGAACTCAAAGCATCCAGCTCTAAAAACATGCTCTCATTGGTGTGTGTGTGTGTGTGTGTGTGTGTGTGTGTGTGATACTTATGTCCTTGAAAGGAAATGTGACTATAGGTTAAAGGAATACCAGAGCAAAGGACACAGCAACTTAAAACAAGAGAAAATTTTTCCAAAAGGGCATTACTGAGAAACTTCTATCTTCATGCAACCAAACATAGAAAGGAAGGAATGAATGCTATCATCACAGTAAGTCAATAAATGACCCAGGAATAGCCAGCTAGGAAGGCTCCTTGTTCTCATTTTATTTGAAGCAACTGACAGCAGTTTTCTTTAAAATTTTTATGTTAATTTTTTTGTGTATGAGTGATTTGCCTACTTGTATGCTTGTGCACCTTCTATGTGTGTTCCTGGTGCCATTTGGAGACCAGAACTGGCTGGAGTTAGTGATGTTGGGGACAATGTGGGTACTGGGAACTGAATTTGGGTCCTCTGTAGGAGCAGCAATTGCTTTTAACCACTGGGCCAACTCTCTAGCTCCCGTCGTTTTATTTCTAAAGCAGGGCAAAGAACGCTTGTTGCTATTGTTGTTGAAAAGTGGTCATATTGACTGGGCAGCTTTCTTCCTCGATAAGAAACACAGCACAGAACATGGTTACTAGCTCAACAAACTTGAGGAAGAAAGAAATAAGAAAGAGAGGAAAGGAAGGAAGGAAGAGGAAGGGAGGGAGGCAGACAGACGAATAGACTGTTCCACCATAAAGAACTTTAACCACACAGTACCGCATGCTTCTCTTAACTTGAACAATGGTGGGATCACAGACTGATGAGGAAGCTGGCTGTGCTATGCTCCCCTCACCTGCTCAGAGTCCCTGTAAACCCTCCCACTTTAGGAAAGGGAAGTACTCTGTGCAGGAGGATCCCATTTTAGCTGTCCACCAGTCATCCCTTTATAAATGCAGATGGATAACTAAGGATTGTCTGTTACTTAAAATTAATCAGTAACAGAAAAGAATAGAGATGAATAACATCGCCTCTTCATATATTATTGGGTCCAAGTGTCTTCAAAGACAATAATGAATAGTGAGAAAGTGTTCTGAAGAGCAGCAGTAACTGGTTCTCTGAATTACAATCATGAACCACAGAAGAAAAATGTTTGTACACAGGCTGTATGCCAGAAATCAAACATCGAGAGAAGACACTGTAAACATAAAAAGGAGATGGAGAACCTGAAGGGAAAGAGAGAGACAAAAGAAGGAGGTGAGGATGAGAGGGGTTTGGGAAGCGGACCATCACTGACTGATACTGGGCCTGGGAGGCAATGAGGCAATGTCTTCAGAGCTCCCAAGGACAATGCTTTAAGAGAGATCCCCTTATGCAAGGGTGTGTTATTAATAAAGCTTGGTGGCAAAACAGGCAGGCAAGCGTTTGGAGTACTCGTGAGAACTACATGAAAAACATTACCTAAAGAATTTCCTGAGCTAATAGAAAGGAAGGAAAGATGGAAAACTGGGAATCAAGGGAATGTAGCCATTGCCATAGCCCAGAAAAAGTGAAGCCAACTGAACACAAGTGAATAGAAAGTCTTACTTTTTAGGCAAGTTTTGCTAACATTAGATTACATTTTCTTGTCTACAGATCCAATATATTGGCTTTTGAACAAGCAATTGAGGATTTAAAAAAAGTTTTTAATTTTCTAAAAATCAAACTGTGAAGTACTAATGGTCAATTAACAATACACGTATAATAAAACTGCAAAGTAATAAAATTTCATAGGAATGTTAATGTATTTTGCTTCTCTCTCTTTTCCTCTCTGTGTATGTGTGTAATTTGTTAATTAGAAAACTAGATGAGAAGAGATAGAAGAAAATAGTAGTGGAATTAGTATTAATTTTATAAGTCATTACTAATAAATCAAAAAATAGAGGTTTAAATTCTTTACAGTACTAAATCCTAGGAAATTAAATAGTATAAACACCAAGAAACAAACAAAAAACTGGAGAGGAAGCCAATACTTCAGTCAGAATTTGATGAATCAAGTGAACATATCCTTTAAAGTTATAATTGAAAGGGTAGAGAGGTAGCTTAATGGGTAAAACGCTTGTTCTACCCCCACAACACATGTAAAAATGCTGGGCATGGCAGTTAACATTTGTAATCCTAGCAATGGGGAGGCAAAGACCAATGGATCCCTGGGGCTTGCTGATCAGTTATTCTAACAACGAGAGACACTGTCTCAAAGCAAAAAGAAAAGGGCAGCACCTCAAGATGATACCACATAGACACATGGGAATACAAATACCACCCCCCCACACACACACGTGCACACATACACAAAATAGAAGGAAAACTAAGACTGCCAGCATTATATTAACTATGTCTGGTGGGTCAGGGAAAGGATGGTGATTTTCAATTTTGTGTATTTGTACCCTTTAATTTTTTAAACCACACATTTCATTAGAAATTTGACAAATGGACAAAACTCACGCACATTCTGTCTCAGGTGTGTGTGTGTGTGTGTGTGTGTGTGTGTGTGTGTGTGTGTGTTGGGTGGTGGTGGTATATGCATGTGAGTGCAGGTGCCAGTTGAGATCAGAGGTGCTGAAGCCTGCTGGAGCCTGGAACTGGAGTTACAGGCAGTGAAATGCCCCTAGTAGGTGCTGGAAACCAACTCAGTACACTCCCTTAACTTTTGATGTATCATATTGATAAGCAGACACATCATACTTAAGAGTTGGGTAATAAGATGAAGACAGGGACTTTGTCTTTATGTCTTACAAAATGCCTACTAATGTGGGAGTTTTTGTTTGTTAAGTTTTTTTTTTTTTTTTTTTTTTTTTTAATGCTGTGTAAGCCAGAGTGGGTTACCTCAGACTCTGGAATGTTGGGATTGCAGCATGTACTAGGATGCTTGGGATAAACAAAAACAATGAAACTTTTTGAATAAGAAAGTTGTATGAGTCTTGTGTTATTCATAACAAATCTAAAAGGGTAAACATTTATCTGTTTTAAAAAATATGACAATTGAAAACATTTTCTTACCTATCTACAGTCACTTCAGACAAGTCTTTCTTAAATGTTTGAAATATTTTAGGATAAGCTGTAGAATGAAACATTAAACTATTTAGCCACTCCATGCCATGGGTTCTTTAAGGGAAATTTTGTCCCCAGGGAACATTTGGTGAGGGTTGAAGACAGTCTGGTTGTCACAGGGATGTGTGTATGATTTTGTGTGTTCATGCGCCTGTATGTGTGTTATAAGTTCATTATTGGGGTAGAGAAGGCCAGGGATGCTGGTAAACAAAATATCCTAAAATGCACAAGGACAGCACCTTTTCCCCAACAGTAAAGCCCACGGTAAAATTCGAACTATGAGAGTTTGAGCAGCCTGTTCTAAATGCTCTGCTTTCCTTTTAAAATAAGACAGTGATCTAGAGGTGTTTGCAAGGAAGTTCAAAGCACAAGAGAGAGCTGTGTGTTACTGCAGAAGTCAGTAAGTAGGTCAGTACCTTGCAGGTACTCCTGCCTGGGGAGTAACCCCAACTTCCGCCTTTTACTAAGCAATTCCCCTGTATCTTACAGTAGGAGCTGTCATGACAGTCAGCCAAGACTTGATAGTGTATGCGCAGCGGGTAGCAGAGGGAAGGGTGCACCGGTCGTCCTCCCTCTCCCCCAGGAAGAGAAGCCCTAGCTACTTTTATGTGTTGAGGCGCTGCTGGAAGCAGAAGTGCCCTCGCTGGGCTGCTGCTGCAGTGGCTGCAGCTCCTCCAGGCTCCACGAGAGGCTGGAAGGCTGGCTGTGCGGGGCCGTGGCGCTCAGACTGGGGGTGACCACGCTAGTTAGGCGGGGACGAAATTCCAAGTTTTCGTCGTCGTCGTAGTAAAAGCGTTCAGTGAAGTTCATGACCTTCCAAAGGTCTTCATCTTCCAACAATTCAGGGAACTGGTCGGGAATGCCCTGCTGCGAACTCTCCACTTCCTCCCTCCCCAGCGCCCCCGCCGCCTCCTCGTCCTCCTCTTCCTCCACCATCTCCTCTTCCCCGATGGACGCCTCCTCCTGATCTTTCGGGCTGCCCTTTGAGGGATCCCGCACGCCGCGTCGTCGCCGCCGTCGCCGGCGCATGTCTGCCGGTGTCCAGGAGTGGGAGCTGTAGTTGAGCGTCTGTCTCCCAGGGCAACCTCAGACCCTTGCGGCGGGGGTGGAGGGAGTGAAGGTGGGGGAGGGGGGTGTTTTAAAGCCACCGTGCCCCTTAAGCGAGGTGGCAGCCCCTCCCAGCCTGCGGAGAAGCAGCCTCTCTTCCCTAGGAGCCAGGCCTGCTTTTTAAAAGAGGAAGTGGCTTCTGGAGATGGACACCCATAATGCCACTTGGCATTGAAGGATTGAGGAAGCTGTGAAATTACTAGAAACATGCCTATTGGAAATTCCAGTAAAACTGTTTACAATATCATCAGCCTTTGATCTGTGGTTTGCTGACTGACTTATGAGACTATTGCCTTGTATTATTTATTGAAAGTTTTTTTTGTTTGTTTTTGATATCCTATATATTTTGTGCCTGAGATATTTTAGGTCATTCTAGCCCTAGTTTGGTCTATTGCTTGATCCATCCTTTTGTCTTGAAACTAGAAAACACCTGAGATACTTGGCCATCGCGGACCACCTCTTGCCTTCTGCGGCTTTGTTTTCAATTCATAGCTCTTTAGTTATTTTGTAAAATATTTGCATATACTCAAAAAGGTATCCAGGATATTACAGTGGACATCTGGTTACCTGATTCATTAGATGCCCAGGGTCAGGCCTAGAAGTTCACTGCGTATGATTTCTGCTATGACATCAACCTCTACCAGTCTGTTTGTGGGTGAAAACTGGGAGCAGTGATGCCTTTGATGCCTTTAAGATATATGTGGATATAATATAGAATGGTGGTCTGTAACTATGAACACATTTCATCTGAAGACCACTGGGAACACAAATGAAGGAAGACAGAAGTACTGGGTTTAGCTGCAGCATGATGCATCTGGAAGGTCCTGTCAGAGGACAGGCAGTGAGTGGTGCAAATTGTTCAACACTCCAGAGAGTAAAGCAGAGAGAAACTGCACAGGGTATTTTTAAAAGAAATGAAGGTTTTGGAGGCCAGTGGGAACACTTGTCACAGGCTTGTGAGGCAGTCCAGATGTTTGGGTGGCCATGGAAAAAAGGGTCAAATGTGGGTGGACAGGGACACAAAGAACACTACAGCAGATTCCGGGCAGGAGGGCACTCCAGCCAAGAGACCTGGGGAGATGGATTAAGTAAGACAAGTGGGATTTGAGAAGAAAAAGGCCTCTGTATACAATTTTTAACACTTAGGGGATGGGTGCTAGGGATGAGGCCAGGACCTGGGGTATGCACCCTACAATTGAGCTTAAACCTTAATAAGAGCATGCTGGTGTTATAAGTAGTAGGTCCTTAAATTCAACTGGCCATCTATGTAGAGAAGTAACATGTATAAAGGGATGCAATGTGTTTCTGCTTCTAGAGATCTCAGAGAGCAATCGCCCTGTGGGGAGAGATGGGGGTCAGGGTGGGTATGCTTAGTAAGACTACCTGCCTCTGGATGGCTTCTGTGACTGCTACATTTCCCCAGTTACACTGAAAAGAGTATTCCTTTCTGAATATGTTCAGCCTCTTTTAGGGGCTCCCCTTCCATAGAGACCAAGGTCTTCTTTCCCTAGATGTCACTGTCTATCATACTGACAAGGGATCAGTTATCCCTCTCCCACTCTCCATTTCCAGTGTCTTCTCAGGATTCAGGACTTGAGATTTGACAAACCACATGGGTGAGGTAATCAAGCTTTCATTCCTTGATGTGTAAACTGGAAAGTCAGTCTGTACCTTTCTACTTAGTTACTCTTTTACTCTTCTTTTGGAAGATTGATCCTGTGTTTTTTTTTATTTTAGATCTTATAAATTTGTTTAGAAAATACTGATAACTTATTTAATCTATAAAACAATGTTTTGAGAGCTTCAGATGAGCACCCCGTGTGTACTTTAAAAACCTACATTTCCTGTCACAAATATATAGTATTATGTAGTTGTTTTCTCTGTTGTCATATATGCTATTTGTTTTCCACCTTTGAGAAAAGCAAGACTTCAATTTCTGTACAATTCAAATGTCTTATTGGTGTGCAGAATACTATAGGCACATTTTCCACATTGTTGAGGTATTATTTCTATGAGACACATTCTTGCAGTGATTTCCTGGTCCTTTAGCTTTTATGATCTTTCTGTCCCCTCTTCTGCCTTGTCCCCTGAGCCTTAGGCGCAGGAGTTGTGTTGTGGATGTGTTCTCTGGGTGATGGGAACCCTATAATAACTTGTTCTCTTCTTTTTGACCAGTTGTCGTTTTCTGTAATGTTCTCTGACTGTTGTAAAGAGAAGGGGCGAAAACTACATGTATCCGTGGGTATGAGCATAAGTATTTAGAATGCAATTAATAATTTTCTGGTTTAACAAAGTGACAGCAATCCATTCTTCTCTAAGATCCATGACCTCACTAGCCCCAGGTGGTTAGCTAGTTTTCCAGTACCAGGAATGAAATGAATTCTCTCTTACTGATGTGGCCTTAAGTCCAAGTAGAGAACTATTTGTTTCTTATGCTTGATTTCAGAATGTGTGTGTGTGTTTTTTTTTCCAACATTGGTCTGGTTCACACTGGAAGAGCAATATTAAAGAACCATAGCTTTGCCCACAGTCAATTAATTAAGAAGAGACATTTGTAAATGTCAGGTCCTCTGTTTCCTACCAGCTCTGTTCAGAAGGTGATTTGCGAAAGGCCACATCTGCCTCCTGATTAGCAGTGACATCTGCTGTATCTTTTTTCTGGATATTACCTTGGAGACTGCTTGGGAGGGCTAATAAGGAAAGGAATCAGTCTTCTCCCACTTTCTGACTGTCTGCATGCATTTGCTTTCTGTTCCTGGAGTCAAGTCTTGTCTCTAGCCCAGATTCATCATCCCTGTGGCTTCAACTATTTTGATCTGAAACTTAACTCTGTTTGTTGTCTTTGGGCTGTTTCTGAAATTGCAAATAAATAGATGCTCTTTATCCTAACTGATGCTAAGGACTCCAGGGTCATCCTTTCTCCATCTTCCCTCTTCCAGAATGGTGTACTCATTCATGGACTATGTGTAGTGAGGTAGTCCTTCTGTAGCACTGACCACGCCCATTGGGGGGTGGAGCTATGGGCGGAGGTGACCTGAGGAAGGAGGTCGGAGGGGGCCAGGAAGGCGCTCTCTTTCTGGCGTGACTCGGACAGGAGAGGATCGGGTTGAATTTCCTGGTGTTCATCTGTCTAGGTTGTAAGTTATTTCTCCCTGAATAAACATCTATTCAGCCTATTTGTTTATCCTGACCCTTATTTACCACAATAACTATGAGCTGTAATTTTTCACTTAAAAATACTTGCTGAGTGTTAGATCATTGGTGCTGTTCTCACCTTCTAGGAAATAGCAAAACAAAATTTCTGCTGTCACTCACAAGTCCTTTTGCTGAAAAAGAGCCACATGACAATTATTGTATCAGCATGTTGTGAACATTGTGGATAAGAACAAAGTCTGTGGAGGAGATGGGTGCAAAATTATGAGCAGGAATTCTTTTTTCATAGAGGTGACTGACAGCAGAGGGTGGCAGGTTCATTGGGCACCTCTGGAAATGTTGCAGGTTCTTTTTCTCCTAGAACAAGGAATTGCATAGTGCATAGTGACATATAAACAGTGACATATGAAAGCAGCAGAAACAGGGACAGTTTATTAGAAAATGATACCTGAACAGAGAGTTTATCAGATGGACCCATATGCACAAAGCAGAAGGGTTCTAAAAGCTTTCTTTTGCAGGCTCCATGACACGAAGTACCATACAGAAGTACTATACAATTCCAGGTATAGAGTGACTCATTAATACCTTAAATCTCCACCAAAGGGTGTTTGTTTTAGAGTTATCATGAACCACCCATCACCTTCAGACACCAACTGGTGTTTTTCCTATGACAGTTTTTCTGATTTTGAGCAAGGCTCTCTGCATATAATTTTTTTCAGTGACTGTATAAGACCCCCTAGGCCACTTGAACCAGCTTTGAAGGAAGGGGAGAAGCTGACCCTGGGCATCACCCTGGGAAAGACTTGTATGCACAGCAGTTACAAACATGATCAGTGTGGAGGAAGAGGATGGAGGAAGGCTTTGCTTTCTATATTCTGGGGTCCCTTTGAGAAGGCATGGCTTATGTTTAAAACTACCTCTGCTAGCGTCAACTAATCCATTCATCTGGACTCACTGCATTGGGGGCGGGGTGCAGAGGCTTCAATTAATGGGGAACTCTAATAAAATTATATTGTACTAATGCAACAGATATGCCTGAAGTATAGTCCCAAGGCAACAAGAAAAGACTACTGGGGCTATAGACCCCAAGTGAAACTAGAATTCTCTCTGTGATATCTATGAGATGAGAAGCCAATAAGCAGAGACAAGAATCGACTCCCAAACTGCTGGACACAGAGAACTGGCAACCTGGGAAGATGATGAATCTCTTTCCTGGAGAACTGTCCTGTAGACATGAGGTTGCATAGGGAGGAGGAAGAAGGGACCAAAGGCAGCCAGTCATCTGGAGCTCGGGCTTGCTCTCATCAAGGGTCAGCCCCATTCAGAGCCCGTGATGTCTATGCTTCAGGCACTGCCATCCCTTGCATTCTTCTGCCACTGTCTGGATGTATGGGCTCCAGCCCCTCTCGGAATGTGGAGTTTAGTTTCTGCTGATATCCAAGGGCATCTGGGCTGGGGGAGGGGGAAGGTAACAGAACCAACAGTCCATTAACAGTGTGGACATGCTATTAATGGCATGTAATGGAGATTTCTTTTCACAATATAGAGTTTAAGTGTGTCTTTACAACACACAACATACAAGTGTTTCTATCTATTCTTCCTGTTTCCTGTCAGAAGATGGGAGACCCC